CCCACACCCACACCCACACCCACACCCACACCCCACACCCACACCCACACCCGCAAACAGCTTTTTTATTTGTTTTTAATGAAAATATTCAAAGAGTGAGTTGCACAAAAGAAAATCCAGACGTTACACATGCTATGAATATTTCAATTGTCTTCCAATGGCAAAAGTTTTATTTTGTCGCCTGGATAGTATAGATTAATATATAATTGCCAAGGTAATTGAGCCCAAGCAGTGTTAACATCATCAATAAACAAATGATATTCTTTATTGGTACGCTCATTCTTTAATGTCAATGTGCCTTCTTCACAATTCATAGTTAAAGTTACAACATCATTTGTCATGTAGTATTGTTCATAGTTGCTGGTATATTCGGATACAGTTGGATTTGAACTGTCATAAATTACGCCACGCACAGCAATAGAATCATTACCAAACCATCCTGATGCTAGTGTGTAACACTCCGCTTGGCTATAAGTTGGCATGGCAATTTCATCGTATATAAACGCACGGCACTTGTACAATGATAGTAGTGCATTTTGTGCATTGGGAGAATAAACACCAATGAATAGTTTTCTGTTTAAATACATTCGCTCAATACGAAATCTTACTTGATGAATACCAACAGCTCTTAATGTTGCACCAGTCGCTCCAGCGCCAGGACCATACGAGGCCATGTGATATCGTTCTGCAACCGTTCCGTTTTCTGTCACATTCATTCTTGTACTGAACGGGGATAAATAGTCGTATGGTTTCAGAATAGGTTGCTTTATCGTTGTGGTTGTTACTTTCGGAGTGGTTGTGGTAAGATCTACTTAAAAAGCTCTGAGCGCAATCCTTGTGAGATAAAAATGTGAAATACGATGTAGCTGTTATTGCTAATTGCCTAGAAACTGATCGTTTTTATCTATATTGAGGCATATTTCTTCGTTATTGTTTACTTGACAGTAGAAAACTTCAACAAGAAAAAAAATGCATGCATGTTCCAAGTAGATCCTCGCTATACATGATCTCCCGTAGTGCCTGAAGCTGTCTCTTACATCCTGCGATGGCTCCTGAAGCCCATCAGTCATTGTCGGTGATGGCCCGTGGAATCTGTCTGTCACAGTCTGTGAGGGTCCAAAATTTCTACCTCTATACTTCAACACTCCTTTTAGATCGTGTCTCACAAAAGTGCTCGCAATCATGGCTGCATAGAATAGAGAAGAAAAAAAAATTGACTTTACCAGAACATGGTTTATTAAATGTATATTGATTATTTGGACAAAAACATACGTAACCAGGTGGATTCGCAGTTGGATTTTCTGAACAATAAGTATTATCACCAGAACCGCATATGTTTGGTCTATCACACAATCCTTAAAAAATATCTATTATTTCATATCTATTTTCAAAATGACGTAAACAAAGTGATTCCATAAGGACTCTGCCGCGGTTTACAAAACAGTTCTTGAATTGGATGAAATCTACCGAGTTGGAGAAATTTTTCTACTGATCACTTCAGTAACTAAAAATTTGTAAATTCTATGGTAAAATAGCGAAGAAATCGCCAAAATATTGCACAAGTCATTTTCTTTTTATTAAAACATGCGACTTTTTAGTAAATTTGCCATTGCTCGATTTAACTCTTTCTTTTTGAAAACATTCATTCAGATTTAACTTCCACGAATGAAAATGTCCTAGAATAGCTTATTTCAGGATATTTTTGAGCATTCCATGTAGATAATTCTCCGCTCGAACGAGGAATACAGTCAGAAAAAATCCAACAAGATATTGATAGAAAATCGGAATCTATTCGATGGGTAGCATATGCAGTTTGAGGGTGTAGGTGATGTTTGTGAATATCTGTCGAGATAGAAACAATGCCCGGACTGATGCCCTACAACTTTGAGTCATATTATTCTCGTCCATCCAGTGATTCGAATAAACTCGAAGTAGCAGTTCGATATTTACATGAAATAGCTAGCTCTGGATTCAAACAATCTTCGCTGTATTATATCGCTGTTTTTAACAGCTATTTGGCAAATACAGACGTGTAGTATGTAGAAGACCTTTATCTTTCTGCTATTCATTTTAGCTAAGCGTCGCCTTTCTAAATTAGACGTTTTACAAAACGAACAGTCAATAATCCGGTACTCTCAGTCTTTTGATTCCATCTGGCTCTATACTTCGATTGTCTTAAATCAGATTTTGTAGTCAAGTTAAACTTCGACTAGAAGTTTTCCAATTACTGTAAACATCTGAATCGCTACTTCTAAAATAGCGAATTATGTTTAAAAACATTTGTGTGTACAATAGATTCAAGCTTTGGTACATCTTTTGGTACGACATGACCTAAACAACTGGACATAGAATACTTTACGATATTTACTGCATCGTGAGTTCATTGTATACTGCCCATCAGGACATGTGCATATTGTCATTCCAGCAAGTCCCATAGTAAAGCATGAATAATTCGTCTGAGAATTGAATTTATCATCCAACTCACATATTGGACAATCTAAATCGTTATAAAAAGAACTTTTGACACAAGAAAATATGAATATTCGTTTCTAATAGAAACTCAAAATATTTTAACCAAAAGTTTTGGTGAGGAGGCAAAAACATGTCAGCTAATTATCGAAGTGAAAAGACATTTTAGGTGAAGCAAAGGAAGAAATTTTTCCTCGCCTAGTAACATGTCTCTTTTATGTAGAAAGAAAAACATTATCATTATCAAAGTCTCCATTTTGTTACCTCTTTTTTTTCATACATTATCCTGTATACAGATGATCTTACCTTGTTTTGTCAATAAACTTGTCCCAAAATCTATATCAATTGCAGCTGAAAATACAGCAAAAAACAAAACAGGTAAGAACCTTTCCATTTTCTTCGATGACTGCAAATGCTTATTGATAATAAAATACACCGGTCATAATATATTATTTTGAAACTAGTCAGCAGGTGTCTTTTTCTCTGGTATTTTTCGCAAAATTTGAAGATTCATGTGCTCTTTTCTCTGGTAAATGTGTGCCGAAGATTAAAAGAATAAAATAGTTAAGTCCAATGCGTTTCGATTTCACAAATGCCTTCATTGAATAGCTTTTACTTATCATCACCATCTGCTACTTCACTAACACGATCGCCGAAACGTTCTGCCTTAGGTATATGATACTCTAAATCTTCGATACACATTTATTATAGATACGAGCATATGAATCTTCATATTCTTCGAAAAATGTAAGAGAAAAAGCACTTACTGATTTACTTCAAAGTAATATGATACAAGCAGTATGTGAGGGTGAGAATGAGTTCCAATGAAGTAGATTCAAAGCATCCCAGGTCGAGCATTACGACGACCAGATACGACCCTACACGGCCGTTTACGACACCGTATACGACACTGTAAAAACTGTAAAAACATCCACCTCCACCGTATACGGCAGTACATATCAGCGTTTACTGCAAAGCGGGGGACGTATACGGTAGTGAACGGCCGCACCCCCAACAACCCGGGTCCAGCATTACGACCACCGAAAACGATCGTATACGGCCGTTTACGACGCCGTATACCATCGTAAACGTCAAAAATATGGCCGTACACGGCCGTATTTCTATGCGCCGTATTACGGCCGTAAATCGCCGTGCCGTATACGACCAAATACGGCCAAACACGGCAGCCGTACACGACAGAGACAACGCCATCAAACGGCTTTAAAGCCCTTTTCCCTAGAACAAAGAGTTTTCTCCATAGAAATCACTAAACCAAAGCGGCTCCTTACAAAGAGGGCTTAAAGTGCCTTTTCTATAAGATCCCATGGATTGTCCGCAAGAAACAGCGGTCTTTCACAAAATTCAAGAAAAAGGCCTTTAAAGGCCTTTTTTTTAGAAAAACTCAGATTTCTCAGCCGAAATGCATTAAAACAAAGCAGATACTTACGGAAAGGTCTTAAAATGTCTTTTCCTATTAAATCCCATGGTTTTTTTTCAAGAAATCGTTATATTTTTAAAGATTCGAAAAAAGGCCTTTAAAGGCCTTTTTTAGAAAAACTTAGATTTCTCAGCCGAATTTCATTAAAACAAAGCAGAAAATTACGGAAAGGCCTTTAAAACGCTTTTTTCTATTAGATCCGATGGTTTTTTCTCAAGAAATCACTATATTTTAAAAAGCTGATAGCGCAATCCCTGCGGGATTAAAATGTGAAACACGATGCAGCTGTTGTCACTACTCACACGAATATGTTTTCTTCGATATCTTCGGATCCGTTAATAGATCATTATTTATTAATTGGGTGTGGGT